CAGCCCCGGAAGCTCATGCTAATGCAGACCCCCAAGGCTGTTGTTGCCCAGCAGGACCACGAGGAGGTTTTCCAAAGCTGTGTATCAACGCATCCCTGGTCTATGACACGTCCCCACCAAAGACACAGCCACCCTGCCAAATTTGGAAGCATGAATCTTATATATATAAGATATATGTCATATGGTATAATTTTTGGTGGGAATTCCTCACATAGTAGCAGTGTATTTAAACTACAAAAGAGGGTTATAAGAATTATTAGGAATTCTGGAAATAGGGACTCCTGCAGGGACCTGTTCAGAAAACTAGAAATATTGCCGTTCTATTGTCAGTATATTTTTTCATTATTAAAATTTGTAATTGATAATGCTTCTCTATTCAAAACAAACTCTGAGATTTATGATCTTAATACTAGAAATAAAAATAATTTTCACCTTTCACTACCAAGGTTGGCAATCTATAAAAATGGTGTTTATTATATGGGTATTAAAGCATTTAATCATCTACCTCCCTACATAAAGGAATTATCAGAGGATAGGCTCCAATTTAAAAATGTCCTAAAAATTATCTTTTATTGAATTCCTTTTATTCATTGAAGGAGTTCTTTGATGGTGAAATTTAGTGTCAAGGATGACATTGACGCTTTCACCCTATGGGTACGTAAAGGTTTTCAATCATATATATATATTTTACAATTAAAGTATATTTGAATTGTTTCTGCTTATTAGTATGTTTTGTGATTAGCAGATGGTGTTAGGGACCTATAATGGACTGCTAGTATTTGTTTGGTAGCAAGTATTTCTTGCCTTAATAGGTTCTACATTTGGTTTACAGATGGATCTATGGAATTGGTATTTTACCTGATATATAGAATGAATTAGATGAATATAATTTTATGTTTTGATGAAATATTACTATAAACTTTATATTATATAATGAATTTTTATAACTTTGACTCATGCTTTAGCATACAGCTTGTTTATATTGTATCTGGTTTACTGTTATCAATTGTTGTATTGGATTATTGTCTTTGTCAATTTTATTAATGAAGTGAACCAGAATTAGAATTTTGATATTTATTGTATCCGATGTAAATTTGTTTATGTATGTCCGCTTTGTTTTATAATTGTTTGCATGTTTGTTTTGTTTTTTGTTTTTGACATGTTTCAATTAATTATTGTAACTTAAATTTTGATCTTGTGACTCATTCGATATCCTATGGCTTGTATTATGCCTGTAACAGGATCAATTAGAAAGTGAAATAAATGGAATGGAATGAATATATATTCAGATTCTACCTCACAGGCTAACTTGTTAGTACTGTTTAGGAAAATAAGCTCTGTCTATTTGGAGATTTTTAACATCACTATGAATACATTCAATACAAAATGTATAGATTTTTAATATTAAAGCGGTGGTTCATAAAATTATTGTTGAAATTGAGCAGTGATTATTAGGTATAGCCACCTGATATTTTCTTTACTATTAAAAACGTTTGAATTGAGATTTCTTCCCAGTCTTCAGACAAATCTTCTTTGTCTCTTCTGTGCATTCACTGATCGCCACAGAACATATTTCTAAATTATAAATACTCCATCAAGAAATTTTGGTATGATAATCACTACAAGAGAAGTTTAAGATATAGTGTTCTGACATCTTAAATTTTTCAGGACAGTCATGCATTTATATTGAATATCCTGGTCTTTAAATTTCTCTTGGCCTTTGGAATATCTGTTTAGTGTGTTACTGATAATGAACATGTGAAGTTACATCATTGAGACAACCGCCATTATGTCATGGTTTCTAATTAATAATTGGATATTCTGATGAGTTTTTGTGTTGTGGCTCTGATGTGTAATTTTGGCTATAAGAATTCAGTCTCCCCATGTGTTGAACTCTTTATTATCCTCCATCCTCTGCCAATGCAGTAGGGTCATGTTTCTTCTTATAATTTCATTTCATATGAATGTTTGTATTTACAGGATTCTTAAGTACAGGTGATCGTGTACTTCCTGGGAACTATGGAATGAAGGACCAAGTAGCAACACTACAGTGGGTGAAACAGAATATTGCAGCATTTGGTGGTAATCCTGACAGTGTCACTATTGCAGGCTACAGTGCTGGCTCTATTAGTGTGATGTTGCACATGGTGTCGCCCATGTCACGAGGTTGGTAAAAGTAACATTTTACATTATATGTTGTTGTTGTCATCACTGTTGCAGTTGCCATTGTCACTGCTGCTGCTGTTGCTACTACTACTACTACTACATGTTTTCTTTTGTATTTATTATATATTTTAATTGTGCTTGTTTTTATTAAGCCAGTGCTGATTTTAGAGACTTTAATGAATGAATTAAGCTGAAATTAATTGAACAGTAATGACTCTTTTGGCTGTGATTATTTAGTGAATGAAGTGATTGAATATGATCACAAAGAATTAAAAGAGTGTAAATTTTATTCAGTAGGAAAGCAAGCTGATATAAATACTTGTTTCTTATGTCAATTTTTTAGAATTCTCTGTTATGAAACAATAAAAGCTTTTAATTGTTTTTAATTAGCAGAACTTCAAACTTTGCATCATGCACAATAATTCTTAGTCTTTACATAGGCCTTTGTATTACAAATTTCTTTCTTCCAGGATTTCTAATGGCTTCCAGTCCATTCTGCTTTAGCATAGCATAGTTTCTTATTATTTAAATGTTAACAATTAATATTTAGCATTAAGTAATATTTTTATCTGGTCTTATATATAATTTATCTTGCTGTGGAAAACTGTGTTATTCAACCATGTTAAGATTATCTGATTATTTGAATTGGAGTCATTGGAAAATATACTTCCTTTAATACCATATTTCTAACTTTGTTGATAGCCTATATGGCAGTAAGAGAAGTGGACAGTTTTAGACCCTCAGCTACAGACAGTGACAGTAATTGACTAAAAATTTTCCCTTCATGGTGAATGAAATGTAGCAATCTGTAACACTGTAACTGCATCACTGCCATGCACCCATTTAAATTTAATTAGGTTTATTAATTAGAAAGTTAATTGTTTCACAGTGGGATGTTATGAACAAGTCAGTGAGACATAGGCCTATTCTTTCATGTAAGAACTAGCTCATTCTCAAACTTGGAATAGAACAAGAAAGAACCCCTGTGGATATTTTTGAGAATTTAACTCGAAAGTGTAACTGTGACAGTCTTTTGAGAATTCAATGCTTGACAGCTTCTGCAGATCATAATTCTTAAGGAGGATAGCCAGAGACTGAAGCCAAGTGAACAATCCATCAAAGACCTGTCGAAAGTTACGTTATGTCTTTAAGGGCTAAAATCCAAAGTCACAGTGAGCTGATTGGAAATCAGAGAAATAAAGTGAACTCCCTAATTTCAAAAACTTCCAGTCACTAGAATTTAAGGGTGTGACAGAGCCGAGAAGCTGAAGGACCAAGGACCTCATGGTTTGGAGGGAAGTGAGTCATTGAAGTCAGTCACACAGCGGATCTTGTAGAATTCAGAAGCAAAACTTGTATCGGTCAGTTGAAATTTCATTGTCCTACTAATAAGAATTATTTATTTATTTATTTATTTCATCTCTATAGATCATTGTTACATGATATAGGACAAGTTAGTCACTGTACATTGGCTGATTACAATAAGAGAATAAAGTTACAATACTTAACAATTGTTTACAGTAGATTACAATAGTTAAGATTTCATATAGTGTGAGGTGGAATCCATATTAGGTCCTCTNGGAGCCGAAGTTAGCCGAGTCCCAGCGTCCTGGTAGCTATGCAACGCGAGTCAACAGCGGTGACGTAAGACGGCGTGAGGTAACAGCGTTGCTAGGCTATACGCAGACACTGTTACGTGGCACGCAACGACACTGTTGACGCGGGCAACAGGTAACAGCGAACGGAATATAAGCCGGCTGAGCAGCAAGCGAGAGCTAGTGTGTGATCAACAGTTCTCAAGGCAGCAGCCTATGAGTTGAGTTGAAATATAGCCATCGACGGAGACAGTAAAAGTGTGATAATCAGTGACAGTTGTGATAACAGAGAATTAATTGGGAGTGTGTAACACAGTGACACTTGTATAGCTCCCGTACTGTGAAACGTGTAGTCTACTGACAATAGCGTGATTTGAATTGCGAATAGGGTTATAAATTGGTGAAACCCCGCAATATTGTTATAATTAATTGTAGCCGTGATTTGTAGGTTGTTAAATAAACCAATTAATGATCTCTACGGCGTATTCAGTAACCCAACTCGTTACATTGGTGTCAGAAGTGGGATCAGTGCTTAAACGCGTTACAATACGTAGAATGTTCAAGCGTTAGCTGGCCCTCTAGGGGCAGTTCTTTCCACCGCAATTTCACTCCTCTGTAGTGGGCCAAGTCTTACGGTTGTTTAGCTGGTCGGTCTGGACGGTGAGACAGTGCTGCGCGCGCCGGTAGGATCGGCTAGCTCGGCCAGTTGCTGGGATTGCGGAAGATGCGTTTGCTGGAGACTTGCTGCTGCTGCTGCTTCAGTTGCCTGGTCGCTGAAGGTCTGTGGCAACTAGAGCTGAAGTGAGGAGCTGATGTCTCGGATGATCAATCGCAGTGTAGAGTTGATGGCTAAACGTGCTGAGCCGGATGTGTTCACTGCACTTGCAAGTTTTGGGCTCCGCCTTTTATACCAAGCGAAACTTGCATTTGAGGAGCAGAGCGCTGATTGGCTAGTGAAAATGAGGAGCGGAAATTTGCAGTGTGTGCTTGTATAAATATGAATGAAACGCCCGGCAATGCGATATTCACTAAGGAGTGAGTGTTGTCTAAAAGACCGGTGGAAACAGCATGCTATGTGGTATGTCCCCACAGTCCTGTTGTACCTGTACTGGTGATAATGCTTATGGAGAATTTGATGGAATGAGGATTGGCAGGGGAAACTGAAGTACTTGGGGAAAACCTGCCCCAGCACCACTTTGTCCATCACAAATCCCACTTGACTAGACCACAGCAGTGGGAAGCCAGCGACTAACCTCTTAAGCTATGGCGCAGCCTTTGAGATTATATTGGTGAATTTGGTGATAGCACTGGTATAACGTTTCACTGTAGACTTTACACTGCAGCATCTCATTACATCTGTTCTCCCTTCCTGGTGCAGCTTCTTGGCATCTGCAATCTCTCCAGAGTAGCCCAATCAGGTACACGTCTGACTGTGCTATCTTGGTTGCTGGAAGAAAGAAAAGTTGTAAGTTCTAAAGTAGTAATGCTAGGAGCAAAAGTGCTGTGCTTTGAAGAAACAAAAATTAAAAAATTAAGCAAAGTTATAAGTAAAATTAGTAACTGAGTAAGTTAAAGGGCATAAACGTTTAATAAACAGTTAAACTTTATATGTGCGTGTGTAGCTTTGAGTTTATTTCTTACCTTCCCGCAGTTGAGGCCCGCTAAAGGCCTTGAGAAATAGACCCTCAGCTTTACTGAATATAACAAACTTCACCTCCTTGTATAATAAAAACAACCTGAGATAATTATTATTACAGCAAAAGAGGCAGCTATAATAAAGGCGACCAACTGTGAAGTAGTAAGGTGAAGTATCACAACACACTACAGTCAGTATACATATATGCCTTTGAAAATATTGTAACGTGTCTTGAGTTCGAATCAGATGGCAATGGCCACGTTACATTACAACTCGGCGACTGCCCACATTACAACTGACTGGTAACTGCTGTGCAGTTCCCTTATATATCCGCAGTGGTGCCTGTTGCGTGCCACGTCACAGGAGTTGTTGGCTGCTGCCTGGCAACCGCGATATCCCTTGGTGATGTCACCGCTGTTGACTCGCGTTGCATAGTTACCAGGTTGCGGGAGCTCGGCTAACTCCGCCTCCTCTCGGCTCACTTCGGCTCTGCTCGTGACGTCACTGCGGGGAGAGTGGCAGGGTGATGACTCGCCTATTACGCGAGCGCTTCATTACCGCTACGTGCCGCTGGGGAGGTAGGGGTCAACATGTCACAATATATATATTGATGCACTGATTAAACCTATACTCCAGGAACGTTTACAACTTCTTTGCCAGCATTGTATGAAAGAATTTACCAGTTGTAGTGCAAGTAGTTGTCCATTGTGACTATGTAATTATGTAAAGGATGAGATGGGCAGGATATGATGATGAAATACATACAAAATTTTAATAAGAACAACTGAGGTGAATAGATCAGTTTGGAGTCTTCTGCATAGATGGGAGGAAAATATTAAAGTGGATCTTAAAAAAAAAAAAAAAAGATGTGAAAATGTAGGCTCTACTCCTGTACCCCAGTACAGAGTACCACATTAGTGTAATCTTAATATCAACCATGTTACCCTGGCTAACACTTCAAAAGTGAAAAATGTTACTTTCTAGGTTCATTAGGATAACAGATACTGGAAAAAGAAGCTAACGGATAATGCTTCTCCTGTCACCTCCATCCAGCCATCTCATCACAGGCATGTTAGCTTGTTTATTTTGATGTAACAGATTCAACACAATACCTGTACACATGCATTCTTCTTCTTTGATACTTGGAATTAAGTAGTATGGTAGTAAGGACTGAACTAAGCCCAATTCATGTTCCAAACAAAATGAAGGCCTCAGTTTATTAACACCTGAAACTTACTTCTGTATGCTATATGGTATAAAAATATAAAGAATATATATCTTTACCTCAAGTCTTGAAAGAAAAAGGGCTTAATTCAAATTTCTTCTGACTTGGCCTCTTGGTCTAGACAAAACATATACCCAGAAACATCCATATAGGTACTTGTAGATATATCACCATGCTTAAAATGAAGGCGCAAGTGTCCTAGGCCGGATACTGCACAGAGCAAAGCCAGGACTATGATTTCATTTTATTTCTTATATCTGTTTGCCTAGAGGAAGAAATATCCCTCAGAGTTCTTATAGATATCATAGATGTCTTGGCAGATGTTCTCAAGAATGAGTTGAATGAACATGTAAAATAATTTGCAGTACTATTAGGATTCATTAAAGGAATTTCTCTTTCTGTAGGCCTCTTTCATCGAGGCATAGCCATGAGTGGCTCTGCATTTCGAGGTGCATACTATGAACTAGATGTTCTTTCACTTGCAAAGAGACAAGCTGCTTTATTAAACTGTCCAGTAGACTCCTCACAACAAATTAAGAATTGCCTGATGAAGAAAGAAGCTCAGGAAATTGCAAGTTCATTGAGGGGATTAATTGTAAGTACAATTTCAAAATACTGTCTTGCACACTTGTCAGTATAGTGACTAGGCTACTGGCTGGTAAGCAAAGGTTCAATTCTCAACAGAGGCAGAAATGTTTCACTTCACCTCCATATCCAGATCATCTGTTGGGCCCACCCAGCCTCTTATCCAGTGAGGAAAGGGGCTTATTTCTGAGGGGTAAATTGGAAGGGAGTATGAAACTGACCACTCACCTGTCAGTAGTGTCAGGGTTAAGAATGCAAAGAACTATATCTCCACTTTCCATGTATCTTCATGGCATGATGCTTAATTAAATGTTGGTACAAAATTACAGCAAACTTAAATAAGAGTTACCTGGTATTGTTACACATTCTGACACAGAGTTTGTGGCAGCAGTGTCTTTCATGTTCAGTGGTTTATCTAATAAACTTTCAAATTTTACATTTAGAATAATGTTTGTAATAATTATTGTCCAGTGTGACCAAATTATATAATTGAGTCTCACTGGGCGGTATTGTCAAACCATTCTACATTATTTAATTTGCGTGACGGACCAGAATGAATGAAGTTAAATGTATAAATAATAAGTTTTTGAACTGAAGAGTAACAAAACATGTGTAATGTCATATTTTAGCGTCCTGTTGCACTGATTTATGTTCACGATTTATTCTGACCGTCTTACAGTGCATACATTTATTCACCTTACTCTTCTCTCTTGCACTACATATTTCAGCACAAAAGTGCCATCTTCAGGTGCTTTTTGATGTACGTCAAACTACTTCATTGCATGCCCTGTNAGAATACTCCAATAGAAGAAGATAGGTGTGACTCGCGTATTGAGATACGACATAAGGATGACAAATCCTGAACAGTTTTAATATTTTTAATATTTAAATTTTATCAATATATATGACGAATATATATTTTAGTTATTTTAGAATGAAGACAACAGGGCATGCAATGAAGTAGTTTGACGTACATCAAAAAGCACCTGAAGATGGCACTTTTGTGCTGAAATATGTAGTGTAAGAGAGAAGAGTAAGATGAATAAATGTATGCACTGTAAGACGGTCAGAATAAATCATGAACAAAACGTGTATTTAATTAATTTTTCAGTTTTGTCATGAACCTAATTCGTGATTGTTGTTTGAACACATTTATGGATATTGGTTACATATTATTATATTGTTCTTTAATCACTTAACCTCAGTTTGTTATACTACTGTCCCCCTGATTAATGTTTGTATTCAAAGTCAGAGTACTTGCATGCTATGTCTTTGTTCCCACTCTGTATTCATTACAGTGAAACAAGATCATCTTAGATAGAGGCGTTAATACAATGTGCATGTCCTCAGTACAAGTTTCTTGTCTCCAGGAATGGGGCAATAGTCCAGTAATTGGCCCGGTAATTGAACCAGCTTCAGGGCCTGAAAGATTCCTGGAAGCTCACCCAGCAAAACTGTTCCTCTCTGGCAAATTTGTTGAAGTGCCTTTAATCACCGGAATGACAAAGGATGAGTTTTCATATAGCGCACTGCGTACGTATATAGATGTTATTTGTTACTGAAGAGAAGAGCACTGACCCAGTCAGGCACAGGTCACTCTTTACTGGTTTGGAATGGGGAGAAAGAAGTTTTGATAAAACTGTCAGGCTACATAACATGCCGTTCTTTAACACATTGAAAGCTGTCTTAATGAACTGTAAATAACAATTAATTTCTTTGTATGTTGCCAAGGACAGATGTCTTCTCCTGTGTAACAGCTACTAGATAATTCACTATAAAACAAACTTAAGTGGGCATATGAATATTTTTATATGTTTCTTATTTAAATGGCTCCAATATTTATATAACTTGGTACAGTTAGCATCTGTTTCACTTTTCAAATGCTTCTGACATTCTGGCATCCCTATATTTTGCCTCTGATTATACCCATATATTTCTGCTTCTATTATGTGCAGTGTTGCTATTTTTACTTTCCCATATGTAGGGTTCACATCGAAAAGTACTGTAATGATGTAATAACTAATCTTGAAATTTTGATGGATGTACACATTCTGAGACCAAAGAGTTTTTGGTGTGCCATTTCTCTGTGAACATTCCAGCCCCAAAAATAGGGACCTCTCAGATGGGCTCCTAAATACAAAATGGAGAATTTCTTAAGAATTGCCTTAATAATTTTGATTAAATTTCAGTAATTTGTATAGACATATCCTGACACAAGACTGCAGAAGTGGTATCTTCAGAAAGATAACAGTATAATAACTAAGGGCCTAAATGCAAAATGTTGATTTTGTTGAAACTGGCTTTACCAGTCTGAAGGATTACATTATTGTTTGGTATTAAGCAAAAACAATGATCTGCAAAGCAACAATCAGTTTTCTTTCCAAGATAATGTTGTCATAGTTAGTCATACATGTTAATGTATTTCATTCATTCATTCATTTATTTGCATTCTGTTAATCCATACAAGGTCAAACCAACCTATGGGATATAGAACCTGTCAAGATACAAATATAATATAAACATAAAATAATGATATATACGTACATTCATAAAGACCACAATAAGGACATAAAGTAAAAACACAGTATTGCATAACAGCAGTGTCTTTACACCAATTCTTTATAATTACCATAAAATTTAATTTGGGTTTTTTTTACTAGAGCTTGTGAGTTTTTATCTCTTGTGTAAGGAGTATTAGTTGCTTTAAAGTTGCTTTAAGACACATTACTTACACTAAATCCGTTGGCTTTCGATTTTTAAATGGGAGATTTACATAGCCTTCTCAGCAAGATCATAAAGCCAATTTTTTTTCTCACTTATTATGGATAGGCTTATATCAGAGTACAAATTTTCAAACCAGTCAACTCCCCAGTTGTCTGGACCAAGAAACATCTGGAATGCATGACTAATAAAAACCCATGGATAATGCAAAATGTTCTGTTTTTCATTCTTACTGTACATCATAAATTAATTAACTACCCTTCACATATTAAGTGTGTACAAATGATTTTTATTTTGACCAAAGGTCAACAGAACTTTCTCTATTGTGACTTGTTTGGATTTCTACCTGTGTTCCCTTTAATATTCCTTGTGACTGTAATAACAGCATATTCAACTCCCCACTAACCGATGTGGGCTAGCATATTTTCAGTGCGCTGTAGAGCTGCTAGTTGTGTCTTCATTGTTCTCACCCTCCCAATTCTCCTTCTGCCCTCTTGTTTTCTGGCATCACTGGTAACACATGTATGTCAGTCATATACTGTATCCTAGTTTGTAGATGCCACTTTCAAGCCATTCTAAAAGTGTCCATCATTCATATTTTCAAACTCTTTGAAAACTTTCACCTGATCAGTAACTTTCAACTTTCATACGAGTACATATTCATTGGAGAAAAACCTGAAAGTCATCTATCTCTAGATCTAGAAGAAGTTTCCTCCATGACCAACAAGTGTCATTGGTTTCACAGAAGGTCATGTCTGAGATATGCCACATGTAGCATCTAATTCATCCACGACAAGGGTTTTGAGAAGCTCAGTTGGGTAGTATTATTTCATTGACGCATTCGTATCTTGAGCCATGGGTTTTTTTTATTGCTAGTGGGGTGGGACTAAGTCCCTTGTACTCTGGCCACTTCTGGCCTAGTGTACCAGCCCCAGATGATAGGTGAGGGTGATTGTGGAGCAATTGGTGGAATGAAGATTGGCAGGGGAAACCAAAGTACTTGGAGAAAACATGCTGCCGTGCCACTTTGTCCACCACAAATCCCACTTGACCAGACCCAGGATCGAACTTGGGCTGCTGCTGTGGGAAGCCAGCAACTAACTGCTTGAGCTATGGCATGGCCAATCCATGGGTTGGATTATGGCTGTGAGATTGCTTGGAAAATACTGTACGATGATGAGACCACAGTCCAAAGGGAGTATACTTGGTTGACAACATGCACTCTGTACTTGCAGTGATGCATTCTGGGGCAATATTTTTTCTTTCAGGAAATGTTGAATTTTTGGTAAAAAAAAATTCTTATGGACTCAGTTTTATTCATCCATGTACTTTTCTGGTTGTAATAATAAAGAGTATGGCCATTTAGTTTGGTTCATTTAAATAATAGTGGATTTGAGGCTTTAAAATGATCTTGCTTTGTTTGTGGGTGTGACAGCCATTAAGGCAGGAGAGATAAAGAGACTAAAAGAAAGATGTAAAGTACATCCCAGCATCTGCTATCACATTATTATTGGATTGCAAGACAGACATGTTTAAATGTCTGTATCATATACCAGTTGTAACAATTGCAAGGTTTTCAGTCAGATTGTATTTATTATGTGAATATAAATCTGGTATGAAAGTATTTTCATATATGTTACTCATGTCTGTTGCACCTAGGATAATATTTTAAGAAGACATAATATGACAGTGTTCATGTCCCCCAAATTGCACAGTCAGTTATGTTGTTCAGCCACTGAGATTTAGTGTGCCTCCTCTACCCATCAATAACCAATTTACTTTCTTGATTTTGAGATCTAATTTCCCAGCATATAGAAATAAGATCTTTCTTAGACGACTGAAGCCTAGGTGTGCACTTTTCTCTTTGAAAAGCAAGGGTTCATGTTGAAAGACTTTACAATTTAACTCAGGCTTATAGGCACTGTAAATTTTGTCAGGATTCAGGATTCCTTCTGGCATTAAATTGTGTTAAAAAAAATCAGTTACAGTGGCACTGACATTAAGGATTCAGTCCTGCATAGCACTTTGACAAATACAAGAACACTGCATAAAGCTTTCCAGCTACAGCTTGTCTGCTTGCTTCATTCTTAGCTGATGCTCAGCATTTCAGTACTTATCTCTGCAGAAATGTGGAAAGTTATGAATCCCTTCTCCCATTTCCACAGTTACCATTAGAGCATCTCTCCTTTTCTCTCCCCAACTCTTACACTGGTTGTTTGAAATGAGAATAAATCGAATTCTCACAAGATCTGCCTCTGTGAAAATGTATGAATGTATAGGAAAAATGAAAATATATTTCATGGACACATGGATAAAATGCAAACCAGATAACAGTGGCTACATAATTGGAAGCTGACTTTGTTATAAATATAAACATGTCTATTAATATGGCCTTCAACTTAAAATAAATACATCAAATGTGAGAAATTGTACATGAAGATAGTTCAATTATGTGAAAATCATTCTTGAACTTCAAATATTCATTACTCTGTTATCATTGATAGTGGGTCCCTTGTTTCTGTGATATTTCTGATTGAGAATGCTCTCAGGAATAAACTACTGAAATATTTGATATAGTAATAAAATATCCTGCTTTTATCATTATATATAGTCATATATGAATTCTGTATTTACTCAGCACTCTTTCTAAATATGATTGTCAGTAGTGTCATGCTTGGTTTCGGGCCTAAAAGAAGAAACATAACAGTGCACTGCAGATACGTGAGCTTTGGCTCTTGATAAATTTTCTGGTATGCATTCGTCATTGTTTTCTAGTACATGTAATAGTTTGAAAAAAGCATTACACTTGCAAAAAAATGTATTTCCTTCTTAGTTTTCTTTCATGCAAGTCCTCCATATAGAAGCATGCCTATTTTTTAGACATTCTGGTCCTTAACTTGTTCAGTATTTTCATTTCCTGTCTCAGTTTTAAAGCGTTATTGGAATTCTTCATGTCATCACCATTTAGAGATGTGCTATTTTTATGTCGTACTTATCCCAGAACAACTGAAATGAGACTGACAATGAGATGTGTGTGTCAGAGTATCTACTACATTCTCTGTCATGAAGGCCCGAAGTTCCATGGTACATGACTGAAGTCTGAATTAATACTACTTAATTGTCACAGCTGTCATTCTGAACTCATCATGGGCTGAGGATATGGACAAAAACTTTGATACTGTAGCTCCAATAGTATTCATATATGAAAGGAATACAGAGCGATCTCGTATGATCAGTCGGGAGCTCAGAAAATTCTACTTGAAGGATCAGCCTCTGACCAATGCTTCTCTTTCAAGCCTTGGAGAGGTAAGTACAGCTACTGAATTACTGAAACACATTTTGTGTCCAAATACTAGAGAAATATTTCTCTTGTGGGGAAATTTGGTCAGATAAGAAACTAGAAATTACATAATACAGGGATTAAAGAGTATCATGCTTATTTATCCGCATATTTATTTTTCACTCAGAAGGTTCATACTTTGAATGATATATGTGGTGCCATTATGTGACATTCAAATTTGAAGCTCCATTATTTACTAACCAGTTTACTTATTTTTAACAATTGTTTTTTCTTTCATATTTACTGAGGTATAACAGCCAGAAGTGAATTAATGCTTCAAATTATAAAGAATGTAATGTTCCATGTGAAACAGTTCTCTCTCTTGATATTATTTGGTGTACAAATTACATTTTATTCCTCCGTTGCAAAAACTAATATTTTGTCAGTCATGTTGTTTGATGGATTAAGTAATAGGTGTCCAGCTTTATTATCAATATGTTGGTACATGAGTATTTGTGGGAACATAGCAGTGCTGTAATATTTTCCTGCCATATCCATCATGTGCTAATCTGTATTCTATTTACTCTGTATCTGTTGTATGATGAACACAAAATAAACAGCTGTTGCCAAACAGCCTGGTATAGTGGTAATGCTGTAGACTTCCATTCAGGGGATGCCCAGGTTTAATCTTCCCTTCACAAACTCCATGGAAGTGCTGGGATAGTACTTTAATTACAACATGGCAATCTAAGTTCTTTTCAGTATATCATTCATAGATTATCCTGCCACTAGACATTATATTATGTAGATATGTTCAGTGTCATAAAATAAACTACGAAAAAAGTAGCTGCAAAATTAATTAAACAAGGTCCATCTTCTTCAATAATTACTGGACTTTAATTGAAACGTGTGTGTGTGTGTGGGCACAAAGAGCAAGAAATATCTTATGTGCACACTATGATTGTCTGAAGTCTGATTACAACTGCCCAGATGTCTGATTGAGATTTGGCAGATAATTGGATTGGTGATCAGAAAGATTATTTTCTCAGAACATTCACAAATAACTGCCCTCTGTTATGATGCTAGAATCTTTACATCAGAATCTTGTATTTCAGCTCAGAATACTGATGCCTTCTCTAGCACTTTTAAATACTGGGAATGTCTATAGTGTTAAGTAAATGAGGTGCCAAGAGATTTTATTTATCTGCAGTAACAAGCATAAATATAAACATAAACATATCTCGTAATATTTTTTAAAGAAGATAACAACAGCTGGTAACATATTTAACAGGCAGGTAGACTAAAATAATTTGGGGAATAACAAAACAAATTTTATATTTGTAACGTGTTTTTGCTCCCAGTTAATTTCAGATGCCGCAGTTGGATTTCCTGAAGACAAAGCATCAAAAATTATATCTCATGTGAGCAGAGCACCCCTGTATTACTACAGGTTTTCATACCAAGGCCGTTACAGTACTGTGTACCGTCCACAGACGAATATTCCGTACGGTATGTTTTAAATTGCATTCCCTCAGTTTACCACTAACTTTGTCTTGTGTTAATATAAACATAGCTCTGATATGAGTGGTAGCCATATGTCATTGACTTCAGTACTTTATTGCAAATCTCAAGACACTTCATCAACTACACAGCAAACTGAAACCATCTATCATCTGTGGTAACTCATTTAACAAGTCATGAATCATAACCACTGGTGATAACCTGTGCCTAAAAGCAGAGGTAGCAGGTTTCTCTGAAATTCTAGTATGAGACTGGATAGCGTCAGAATCCAGACCATCATCTAAAAAGTGATAACAGTATTTTCCATGGGCCATGCACAATTTATTCTGGTTGTGAATTTGGCTCTCTGAAATGGATACTTGAGATTTAGATATGTGGATAGTTGCATGAGGTCACACAGGGGAGTTGGTACAAAATTGAGGCATGTAATCTTTATTCAGTACCTTGTCTTCATAACACATGAAGGAAAGAGCCTAGCAAATCTGTTTCTTGTGTAGACTGGGTTCATTTTCTGGATACACAGCAAAAGTAATATACAAGATATGAAGAGTGCATTTAGTCAAATCAAATATATAATCAAAATACATATGTGTGAATTATTTCAGACTGTCCCACTATGATACTTAAAAATATTCTTCCTGCAATTGAAAAATTAGTTCATAAATTATCAAGTTTTGTTCTATTTTCAGGGGTGGTTCACCATGATGACCAAATGTACTTATTCTTTATATCAGCATTATTCCCAGCTTTCAAACCTGAAGATCCAGAGACAAAAATTGTGGAGAGACAAACTAAGATGTGGGCAAATTTCGTACAAACAGGGTAATGATTAAGTTCTTGTTACTGAGTGTTCCTGAGGGCTATGAAAAATTGAACTCAAAGCAGTTTACTTTCCCCAAAAGTGATATATTTAAACTGAAGTACATATGACAGTTCAAAGGTCAAGTACTTCCAAGAGGCGCTGTTTTCTTCAACAAATACTATAATCCATCTTGAAATATTTCCCATTTCCTCATGCTTCAGATTTTTTTAGTGGTGATTCAATTTCTGTGAATGTTCTCTTGCAGAAACCCAACTCCTCAGAAGTCTGACGTGTTGGACAATGTAATATGGCGACAACTGACTCCCCGGAACCTGGCCTATCTGGATATGGGCTCACATTTGGAGATGAGGGAAGGGTTGTATAAAGAACGTATGGCAGTCTGGGAACGCCTTTTTCCACTGGCCACATTCCCTCAATCACCAAACCACAATTCACATCGGAAGAATTGAATAAAACATAACAATCAGGGATACTAATCCCAATTATCTGAAAACTTAATCTTGCTACTAGTCTATTAGTAGTAAAATCACTGGTAAGCGAAATACGCGGATGATGTTATGAACAATCATTTTTCATTTAAACCACCTTTACTTAATGTGTTTTAAAAGGTTCACAGAACATGTTTTTTATGGTTAATTAATGTAGATTTAAGTAAAGCAAATGAAATTCGTTATGTATTGCAGTGTATATATATATATATAATAAAGGATGGCATCAAAGTAAGAAAATTTCTTTTCCTATAAGATTATTATTGATCCATATATATGCAAGACACAGGCAGATTTCTGTTTATTAAAGCCCAATTTCAGAGTATCTGAAAATTTCCCTGAAGTCAGTTGTTATATGCAGGCTCTATAATATTTCTAAAGCGTAATAATTAAATATGTATAAACCTTTACTGATTTAACAGAAATTGGATATGGTTTTTATTTTAATGCATAGTTACCATATGTTTTGGAGAAATAGGACTGCCTACTTTAAGATCCCATGGCTTTTAAATACTGAATGACTCCATTCAAGCCAATTACAGAACTCAGAAGCTCCTACTCACCAATGTATGATGCATGGCATGACCCATATGAAAACTTGTAGGGGACTTAAAATTCGTCAAATTTTCAAGTTTAACATTTCCAGGTATCATTATTTCATAATGCCTTGAATCAAGCTGAGTAAAGCTGAAAACTGTAAGATAAATGACACAAATTCCATCCCAAGTGCAAACAATATATATTATATGTTTTGATCTTGTTCTTTCTACACTACATGTTTCGGCCTCTATCGGCCATCATCAGGTGTATACTCTTAACGTTGCTGCCACACTGACCCCAGTCTAAAATTTAACATTTAAAAACACAATGTCATATTCTTCGTATTATCAACATCTACATCGTTGATATATGTCTGGTATGTAGATTATGTTGCACACGTCAAATTTGATATTCTTGTAGTAGCACTTTAAAAATCTTTAGTTATGATGTTTTTAAAACCTTTTAAATTTTAAAATTCTTAGGGTTACACGCCCTATGTCTAAGTGCTGGAGCGGCTAGTTCTTGTTTTCACACTGTACAGGTGTTATTTAATGTAGTCTTCTTGTGTGGTTGCCGCTGCTTGTCTGTACTACCACACAAGAAGACTACATTAAATAACACCTGTACAGTGTGAAAACAAGAACTAGCCGCTCCAGCACTTAGACATAGGGCGTGTAACCCTAAGAATTTTAAAATTTAAAAGGTTTTAAAAACATCATAACTAAAGATTTTTAAAGTGCTACTACAAGAATATCAAATTTGACGTGTGCAACATAATCTACATACCAGACATATATCAACGATGTAGATGTTGATAATACGAAGAATATGACATTGTGTTTTTAAATGTTAAATTTTAGACTGGGGTCAGTGTGGCAGCAACGTTAAGAGTATACACCCGATGATGGCCGATAGAGGCCGAAACATGTAGTGTAGAAAGAACAAGATCAAAACATATAATATATATTGTTTGCACTTGGGACGGAATTTGTGTCATTTATCGTATAGAGTGCAACAGGATGCTTAAATATAATATTGAAAACTGTAACTATGTAATGTCTCCATCTTGCATCCCACTGATCATTTTGGTGGGGGGGGGGAATGTAGACCCACCACAGTAAAAACAAAGCTTCTCCTTTTCCAAGAAGTGTATTTCTACAATTTAGCCCATTTCATATTATGTTAATTGCACATGAAAGTTCTTACTCTTGAGTCTTAAAATCCAACTGAGGCAAACAACACATCCCATCAGTTGAGAAACATTGGCTTAGAAGAGAACAGCAACTTATGTCTTTCATGGGAAGACCGTGGTAATAATTCCTCTGCACATGTTAGTGCACATACATGGTCTGACAATAAAGTTCATGAACTCATCATGGTATAGGTACTACATACCTCATTGCTGAATATCACTGTGGTTATCTTCAAAGTATTCCCCTTGAGAAGCTATGCAGTGATGCCAGTGCCTAGTCCAGCCTTCAAAACAATTTTTGAACTGGATTTGTGGAATAGCCTTCAGAGCTTGCTGTTATATTACTCCTGATATCATCATCATCAATACGCTTTTTTTTTTTCAATATTTCCTTTATATTCAGGAATAGAAAAGAAGTCATTGGTGGATAGATCCAGTGAATAGGGAGGGTGTTCCAGCACAGTTGTTTACTAGCTAAAAAGTGCCTCACAGACAGTGTTCTTATCTGAGATCTTTTGGGACCATTTTTGCACACACCGTCCTCATGTCAAAATTTTTAGTTAAGATTTTTCCTAACTATTTCTCGATGTTTGCTTGCTCTGTTATTCTCCCGACAGTCAGCTGACGATTTTCACGCACAATTTAACGAACTTTTGCAATTTTTTTCAGTTCTGCTCATTGCTGACTATCCTGATCTCTCTTCATCAGTGACACTTTTCTTTTTAAATTCACTTAGTGGGGGGTAGAGTCCAACTGGGTCCACTCAGCACTGCGGCCACTGATTGGCCTATTGTAGCCTGCCCCGAGTGATTACGATGAAGGAAAATTTGGTGGAATGAAGATTGGCAGGGAACTGAAGTACTCAGAGAAAACCTGCCCAGCGCCACTCTGTCCACAAATTCCACTTGACCAGACCCGGGATTGAACCTGGGCCGCTGCGGTGGGAAGCCAGCGACTAACCACTTGAGCTATGGTGCAGCCTATCAGTGACACTTCCTCTTCCCTTCAGAGAAACGTGTCACCCGCTTGTAAACTGCTGTTTTCTTCACAGCGTTATCCCCATAAACTTGCACTAACACCTCTTTGATTTTGCTTCCACTCTTGCCAAGTTTAAGAGGAAATTTAATGTTTTTCTTCAGTGCTCTAATTTAAGCTCTGACATTCTTGTGATGGCACACCAAACACACTCAGACAATAACAGACAACACTCAGAAAGAGAATGCCATAGATCAACAATACAACTGTGAAACGCTAATATACCAGTGTCATCAAACCATACTGAGGGTTCTGTCCACTGCTGCCAAAGCAAGCACACAGTGGCGAGTTCGCCAACTTTATTGTTGTACCTCGTACATATGTACATGTTGTTGTATCCCGTGGATGGGATAGATTGCAGGTTGGCAGGGCGAGCGGTTCCCTTTGGGAGTCAGTGCGGGGTGTGAGAGTACTGCAACTTGATATTAAATACATTTATTGATACTGTACAAAATCAGAGAGAGAACCCTGTTGGTAAGAAAGCAGTGGTCTGCCTCAGCAATGGGCAGTGGCCGACTCCTGGTATCTGACAGCACCTGCTCCACTTAATGGATAGCTCAGGCAGTGTCGATATCAAAAAGCACCTTTACTTACGCCCCGTGTGGTATATATCTGGTCCAGTTAGGGCGTTACCCTTCTGAAGTAATCTGACTAACGTCATTCATTGCTTCATCACCCTCTTGAGTTTTCGGAGGGTCCACAGCTGTTCTGTTCTTAGTAAGAAACAAGCATCGTTCTCGTGACAGCATCGGTGAAGGACAAAGTTCTAATCTTTTGATCCTTCCTAAAGTTAATCCCTTGATATTTCCTGTTGGTACACTGGATTCCTCATACTGTGTATACACGAGGTACAGTCTATTCCTAATATTACAATATAACATATTATATCAATAAAACAATTCATTTCATTCTATATATCCCCATATAACATATGGGTATTAACATATACCATAGTTTATAGTAAGCATCACCATGCTTTATACAATAATCTATATCAGGTGTCACCATATACAACAATGTGCTTACACATGGATGTGAGCATATCTGTGTGTGAGTGTGCACATGAAGATACCATATTGTCATGTGTTGGGTATATAACGCGACAAATAACTTCACACCTTGAAGAAAGCAGTCTTCTGGGATTTGGCACCGTGTATATGTGGTGTTAACCGACGTTTCGGAGGAATGTATCGCTTCCATATTCAGGGTAGAAGAAAAAATATAAGAAATCTGCAAGCGAAGAGACCGTGAGAACCGGTAAAAGCAGACTCTGCTTGCAGATTTCTTATATTTTTTCTTCTACCCTGAATATGGAAGCGATACATTCCTCCGAAACGTCGGTTAACACCACATATACACGGTGCCAAATCCCAGAAGACTGCTTTCTTCATAGTCACCGCTGTGAAAGCCTCAGATCTTACAACTTCACGCCTTGTTGGATATAGCGAATTTTATTTCACATTCGCTCTTACAATCACACAATTCACAGATTCACAATTACTGCTATCTGCAGTACTACAATTACTAGACTACAACTGACTGCTTGACTGCCTGGCTAACTCGTAACTAACTCGTAACTGTAACTTGAATAGTCTTCGCTGCTCCTTATTTAGCCCCGTTCCGGACACAGAAAACAGCCATGTAATAGGCACCACTGTTGTCTGGCGCCATGTTGCTAGCAATGCTGTCGGGAGTTGTTTATGGCTGCATAGCAACCGCGGCATCCCTTGGTCAGGTCACCACTGGCGGGGTAGGTGAAGGAGTGTTGACTTGCCTATTACCCTAGTAACGACAGCACTCCAATGGTGTTACATCACCGCTGGCAGGACGAGGGTGTCCTGCATAGTGCAACACGTCACAATATTAACAAATCTGGACATGTGCACATACATATGCGTAATGCAAGCCTCAGGGTTGGTATGTTTTTATCCCTCCATTTCTACCTACATATACTGTAAATTGAAATCTTTGTATTAAAATTTATTTTATTGATTAAGTAGAGACAAAATTTACAAACATAGATATAATATTTTATTGCACATACACAGAACATTAACATATATGAATGATTCAGTCCACATTAATCACAGATGTAACATTATGACGACCTAGGCTGTATATACGAGGGCAAATCGAAAAGTCTTTGCCCTTATTTTTTTCAGCCACAATAATATACATACAGTGAAATTAAAATACAGGCAGTGTTCGAAGTACCTTTGACTATTTTTCCACATAGTCACCACCCTGATTCAGGCATTTGTCCCATCACACCACTAGTTTGGAGATGCCGCTGTTGTAGAATTTGATTGGTCAGGAGGCGGTCCTGTTTGTCACATGAGGCCTGGTGTTGTCATGGAGGAGAACCACGTTGTCCACGAGAATCTCCAGGTGTGACTGGAGTCATTTGGATGGGAGATTATGGAGCATGCACCATATAGTTCAGACTTCGCCTCCAGTGATTTCCATGTGTTTGGTCCACTGAAGAAGTTCCTGGTAGGCCAGAGGTTCATTTTCGATGACGACCTGAAAACCGCCCGTGCTCAACTGGCTGAATTCTAAAACAGCGGCATCTCCAAACTAGTGGTGCGATGAGACAAATGCCTGAACTAGGGTGGTGACGATGTGGAAAAATAGTCAAAGGTACTTAGAACACTGCCTGTATTTTGAGTTCTTTGTATGTGTATTATTGTGGCTGAAAAAAAAATAGGGTCAAAGACTTTTTGATTTGCCTTCATATGTTCATTAAATACACTTTAAACAACCCAATTCAACAGAACTGCACTGACATCTACTACTACTTAAGTAAGAAATCTCGCCTCTGTTGCTCAAGAAGTTCTTCTAAGTGGCTGCAGCGATCTAATGCTGATTCATATTGTGACTTAAGATTCTGGACAGTTTCATCTCTTTTAGTCACTACCACCTTCACCCTGAAATTATAATTAATTATAACCTTTTGTGCCAGTTCCAGTAGCCAAGTTTGTCTGTTGCCATAGTGTCTGTTCTACAAAGTTTCACATTCAAATTCTCTTCAACAAATTTATGTTCCGGTATGCCAGTTACCATTTACTATCACTATCATCTTCTTGTTTCCATGAGCAGAGGTCTTAAAAGCATTTTAGATTCCATCAGGAAACAAGTTATCTCACCACTTATATTTGTGAAAAACTTACACTTCAGTGGTACTTACATTTTGGGATAGAAATGAATGACTAATTAATGAAATAAGAATAAGAGGCTGGAATAATCTTCATACTGAGGAGCTTCATAATTTGGAGTCCTCCTGGCCAAATATTATTAGCCTGATCAAATCAAGGAGGATGAGATGGGTGGATCATGTAGCATAAATTGGAGAAGTGGGAAATTTAGAGAGAATTTTAATTTAGAAACCTGAAGGGAAGACACTACTTAGAAAACCTTATTGTTGATAGAGAGTTAATATCAAAATTGATATTAAGGAACTAGTGTATGAGGGTGGGGATTGGATTCATCTAGCTTGTGACAGGAACAGTGGCAGACACTTATGAGCATAGTAACATGCATTCACATTCCAAGAAAGGGGAATTTCTTGACCAGCTGAAGGACTTTTAGCTTCTCAAACAGGGCTCTATTCCATAGAGATTGTTAACACTTTATATTCTAAATGATTTTATTATGTCTCCCTCACTTGCAGAAAACTAGAACTGAAAATGAATTTGATTTGTTTCATCAAGGACAATTGCTGTAGTTGTAAGAAGTTTGGATTTTGTATAAAGTGTATGTGAAATGTTTTAAATATTTGGGTAGCTTGTTAACAGATGATGGAAGGTGTACTAGTGAAATTAAATCCAGGATTGCCATGGCAAAAGCTGCATTTAGCAAGAAGAAGAATCTTTTTACCAGCAAATTGGACTTAAATTT